CTACAGATAAAAAGATAAATGTTCGAACAGAAAAAGAGTCAATAAATGACTAGCCAATGTACATATGACTAAGCAATGTAAAAAATGTACATAACAATGTACACTTTCAATGTACAGGTGAAAATAGAATGTTTGACAGGTACATAATAAAATTTTAGTTTCACTAGTCAAAAAGATGCAAACTAAAACCACAAAGTAACCTGTTGTACTCAAAGGATTGAGAATAAATTTTACATTTTGTTGACAATATGGAGAAATGGGAACATTCATACCATGTTGCCAGAAGTGTAATCACTTAAAACAATTTGGTGGTACTCAAAAAGATTTTATGATACATGTACTTTAATATAAAAATCACATTTATAGAGTCATATATAACACACTGCCAGTGAAAAACGCACAAAAATATTCACTTTACCCTAAAACCAAATAATTAGGAATGATCCAAGTGTCTATTAAAAAGCATAGATTGATTATACATTATAAACATAATCTGCTTTACGAAAAGTACATAAACAGAACTACAAGCATTGAGATAGCAGATTTCACAAATAAAATATATATAATTTATATGAAAGATTAGTATATGTCTTATATACTTAGAAGGTGCATATGGTAATAATATTAATACATTAACGTAAGTGAGAAAATTAATATAATGGTTCATATAAAACTAAAGAGGCATCATATGAAAAACCAGACTCAGGAGCCCTGATTTTAAATTTTATGTGAAAATATACTGAAGCAAATATGGCTAAAAGTGGAAAGTTAATAAATTAATAAATAGACTTTCACCAAATTTCCTGTTTTAAATATTTTATACTTTCTAATGGAATGGATAAATTATAGCACATTTAATATAATTTAATAAGTAAAACAGTCGGGATGTTAGAATTATATCTTTTATACTTGGAGCATTTGCCTTTTTCCCTGGATTAACTAATGTGATAAGCAGAACAAAAAAGTGAATCTTATACAGAATTACAGAGAACAAAGAATACTCATAGTAAAAACCTGAATAAACAAATCTTAGTTGCATGTGGGAACTGGTTGCCTAGAGAAATATATCAAGCTATAGTAATCATCCAAAGATGACAAAATTGAAAGAGACAAAATGTATGCAAACAATTTTAGAACTCTGAGAACTTGGGAAAAAATTTGTAGAAAAATGTAGAAGTAAGGTAAAGGCCACAAAGAAGTCACACAAGAAATAAAAGTTGCATGCTTAATATCTCATTTGTCAGAAAGCCAAGTATGGTTTAACCGATACTTAAATCTGTGTCTTTCACACAGTGGGATGTTAGCCCCATCCCCAGAGACAAGCAGGCGGGATCTACTTGTGAGCCACTCATGTTTTTGGCAGTTTTCAGTTCCTTAGCCCTGCTGAACTGAACGCAGTGGCTACTCAAGATATGCTGGTCAGAGGCTGTTACCATGACGTTCTGCAGAGCAGAGCTCTCAGCATGAACTGACTGCTATCAGTAGGAGCAAGGCAAAGAGCAAAAGAAGGAAAACAAGACAGAGCCAGAGTATTTTGTAACCCAGAGTTCAAGATCATATCCTGTTACCTCTGTCCCAATCCCTTCTCTATCAATAATAGCTCTGCTTCATACTGTAACATGGTGATTACACTATACGTACCAAGATATGAAAAATATTATGAGTCATTTTAGATACCTGTACTTCCTGCAGCCATCACCGTATTTGTTTGAGATTTTTAAAAATTAAATACACTAAAAGTTTGGTTCCCAGTATCCTATCCTAATACTACCTGCTCTCGTTCCTGTTCTGTCTGCAGAGACAAGTACCATGGTCAACTTTCAGTATTGTCATGGTGAAAACTGTGCTTGCTATGTGTGTGCATATATTAATTGCTTCACTTAAATGATTTACTATATATAATATTTAGTAATTACCTTTCTGCTTATCATTAAACATTAAAGCATACTTAGTTTTATAAAGATATAGTCTGTTAATTGTAACTATGACAGTTTTCAAATGGGGGAAAATTACAATTGCTGCATTTAATTTCCCATCTGATAGCACCAGTAATTGTTCAATTTTCACTATTAATCTTGTATTGAAATGAATGTACATTTTACTTTCTTGTATATGTGTGGTGGAGTTTCACCAGAGTATGTAGCCAGAAGTGGCACTGCTTCCACAAACTTCTCTGCTGACTGGATTTTTGCATTTCTCACAGAATTCAGTGTTCCATCTATGATAGTACTTCTTGGCTTAACTTGAGCAGTAGTGAAAAGACTTTGCATTCAGGGTCTGTTAGTTTTCTCATTTTTCACAGGAGCATGTCAGCCTCTGGTTTACTCTCTATCAAGGCTACAGGGAATTACCTGACAAAAGCCATATGTCAGCCTCTTGTCAGAGAGAAAGAATTCAAAGTCACATCTAGTGAAGATCTATCAAATACTGCATTTGGAAAACAATAACTAGGAAAAATTACTTAGAAAATACTCAAACTGTTCATTCCTCCAGACATTTTAAAATATGTTTAAACTAGATCAGTATAAGACTTAAATTGTATTAAATCGATTTCCATACTAGGGCTTTGCTACTCAAAGCTTAATCCATAGCAGCTATCCCAGCAGCATCACCTACAGCTTTTTACAGATAACTGCCCCTACTTCTATGTTTAAGAGAGAATCTAAACTATAACAAGATTTCCAAATGATTTTTTGAGTATATTTGTAATCAAAGAATATTGATTTATAGAATTATTTCTACTTTGTTTTAACTACTTAGGTTTTATCTGCCTATATTGAAAAAGATGAAATTTATTATTTATACAGTAAGAAAAAGTTCTTCTTCATGAAGGCACTTAATAAAAATCTGGCTAGTTTCAAAATCAGGTGTGCTTCTATTGAAAAACTATTCTATTTTAAATGTTTAATATCAGGAGACCGAGGCAGAATTATTGCAAGTTTGGTCACCTTTGAAAGACTACATCTTAAAAATAAAAGAGTGCTGGAGGTATAGCTCAGTGCAAAGATCTTGGGTTAATTGCTAGTACTAAAAAAAGTTTAAATATTATGCAATATGTAATGACTATACTGTATTTTTCCTTGGCTATCAATTACCAATAATGAAATCAACAAATGATGCACTTATACAGTACTAATATAAACATAGATAATGGCTGAGGATATAGCTCAGTGGCAAAAGTACCTGCCTGGCAAGTTCAATGCTATGAGTTTGATCTCTGGTTACAAAATAATAATAATAATAATAATAATAATAATAATAATAATACTAGGCACTTTGAGTCGGTCAGTCTCATGCTTTGCTCTATTTTATGCCCAAATGTTTGTTTTGATAATTTCCATGTGTTTTAATTCACATTGTCTAACTGTATTTCACATATCTTTGTGATATGGAAGAATCACATTTGGAAGGAGGGAACAAAGGATGGAAAAACTGGTTGGTAGCAAATTATAACAAACATAAGCAGCTCATATTTTTGAACACTCAATATATTGTACCTTTACATCAACCAATAAATAACAATTCCCTGGGGACACAAATCTCAACATATCTAGACCTATTTATGCCCTTAAATTTAATGTAACAGAAATTATTAAAATTTATACTAATTATAAGCTTCTTGAAACATAAAACATTCATAGGTTGGTGAAACCTTGCACCAATAAAATTTAACTGCCAACATTAAAAAATGATATTCCAGAAGAGCAACAATTTACATAATTACGAGGATTGATTTACCTGTGTCTATAACCACAACTGAACCAGCATTTGAATCTTTGACATTAAAATCTTTCCCAATCTTTAGATCTTACAAAATGTATACTGTATGTTCAGTCCTTCCTCAGTCATAACTGAAATGTAGCCCAAAGTGGATAGGTCTTAAAATCAGTAGATTTTGAAATGAAACATTTTTATACTATTTATTATCAGCATAACCTGTCAAAAGATGCTTGTGTAACCCTGGGTTTCCATTCACATATAGGACAATAAAAATATCTACCTCACTTATTTGTTGAACAAACCTCAATGAGGTTAGCAATGTACACAAGGCAGAAATAATGCCTGGTAATTATTACATGCTTAAGTGTATCACCCTGATTGTTAATGAACCTGATTTATTATGTTAAATTATAACAATGTTAGAAAATTTCCAGAAAACATTCTCAAACCATAATGTTAATAGCTGAATAGTACTTCTGAACTTAACAGGTATTTTATTTTCTGTTCAAAAATGCTAACTAGTATGAATGTACATCTTTGTGTATCCTACTTATTTCTTACATGGAAAAATATTTATGTAGAGATAAAAACATTGAACTGAGCAATATGACTATTTGAACTCTACTGATATTCAATGCCAAACTGTTATTTGATAATATGCATTTTTATTTTTACTTAATGCACTTACCTTAACCCTAAATCACTATTGCTAGTAAGTATAATTATATAAATGAACACATAAACTATCCTGAGATATTAAGAACAGAAAGCAAATTTATGGACAAGACAGCCTTCATATTCTGCTCAGCTTTATAAATTTTATTTTTTTTTCCTGAAAAGTCTTTGGACCTGCCTTTTTCTTAGAACATGTTAAATATTTGCAATTGCCAATCCATCCTCTACCCATTTCAGATTTAAATAATCTCCCAGTCTCTTGCCATTTTTAGAAAGCAGCAATAATATCTGTCTCAAAGAGCTCAGAGTTATCCGTTTGAAACGCAGTCATTCAGAAACATAGGGTCCTATCATCCTCACTTTGTGAGAGAACAAACAGGACCTTAGCCTTCATATATACCAATTAATAAGCACAAATGGGCTAATCACACTGACCAGACCCTTTTCTGAAGCACAGATTACCTGACTCACCTTACCTCTAAACGTTTATTTTGGCTTCTGTTGTATCACAGATGAGTTCAATCTCTCTCTCCTATTGCACTAGTCTTGTACAAGTCTTACTTGCCTGTTCCACTCCATCTTTACAGTTTTTCTTTCACACTTACCATCTTGTTTGAAGGCATCTGAGGAGTGGTAAAGATTGATGGGAGAATAGTAGTGCTGAGCGGCCCCACGCCAACTTGGTGAAGAAACACTCAGTGTTCCTAAAGGGGGAGTGCTGTACCGTGGTCGCATCTTTGAACCATAGAGAGATGAAGATGAACTTTTCTTTATTCTTAGCAAAGTAGCATATGAAGTTGGGAGACCAGGAAGAGCTTTGGAATGCTCTGTAAAATAAAATAATAATATAAAATGAATTCTGAAGCGATGGGTTAATTTTTTTCCAGTAAAAATGGTTTATTCTAAAGATATTGTTGAAAATTATCCTTCAGGCTACAACTAAATTCAAACTCTGGTAAGAGTAAAAAAAATTAAATGCTACTTACATGTTTTTAAATATTTTTTTAACATTCTAGTGGTTATAATCACCTTCAGTAAGAAAGAGAGAATGAAAATCCACATTATAGAGGAAGAAGAAAGAAAACAGAAATAGAGAAAGAATAGAGGGGAGAAATAGAAGAAGGAATTAGGGAAGCCAGGGCATCAAAATGTTCTTACCTTTCTGCAGCAGAAGTATTTAGGAATTAACCTTCTATTTTGCCTTAATACTACAATATGCATTTCCTATATGGCAGAACCATTTCTTTCCTATTATCTTCTCATTGTTATTTTACTTTGTACTTCTTTGTATTAGATGATTCTTACATTCACTGTGGGTGGGTTGATATTGTACTTAATGTATATTCCTTTTATTTCTCCTCCTTCCCCTCTCTCTCTGCTCCCTCTATTTCTACGATTCTCTCCCTTTATGAAATATTTATCTTGATGTTTTCTATTATCTTTGACTTTGCTCATTAAATTCTTTAGATTTCTCAGATAACAGAATCCATGAGATACTGAAATTTGTGTGTCTTATTCATCTCACTTAATATAACGGCCTTAAGGTGCATCATTCCTAACAACTAATTCAAATATATCCTACTTATTTGCAAAATAGTAGTCCATTGTCTATAAATACAATTTTTATCCATTCACCAGTTGATGGACATATAAGATGCTTCTAATATTTAATAAGAGTTGCACTGCTAAAATCATGATTTTGTCTGAATCACTCTAATATGACGTCCTTAACTGATTCAGGAAGATATCTCAGGGGAGAATGTCTACATCAAAAATAAATTCTACTTTTAATTTTTAGAGGAATTGCCATACCCATTTCAATAGTTGATTGTTAGTTTACTTTCCAGCCAAAAATGTAAAATTGTCCCTTTTTCCCCATAGCCTCTCCAGAATTTGTTATTTGATTTCTTCATAATTGACATCTTCACTGTAGATATATTTTACATTCTATGTTAACTTAGTGCATACATATTTAATTTCTCTTGAATTATCATGAATTATGTTGTTTGCCTAATTTCTTTCTTGATGATTTCAGTATTTGTGTATGGATCATTATTAGCTATATATTTTCTATTCTATTATACTGAATTTGTTTATTGGTTCTTGAACCCTTCCATAAAGAGTTCTGTGTTTTCTATATAAAAACAATTATGTCATCTCTAAGGATCATTTTACCGTATTCCCTTCCTATTTATCTTTTGTACAATTGATCTGGCTAAAGATGTGAGTACAACACAGAATAGAAGTACTAATAGTAGACACCCCTTAGGCTGAGGAAGGAGAGTACAAGTCTTAATGAAACAGTCTCAAAACAAGAGGTATAAAATCAACAGCTGGAGATATGATTCCGTGAAGAGGCCTGAGTTCAAACTTCAGTGCTGGGAAAACAAGCAATAAAAGATGGGATTTTTTTTTCCCTTGACAATTTAACTGGACTATTTATTGACCATGGGAATATTTTTAAGATCTAGGCCGTTTTGTTGAGTGTCTGACATTTGAAATGAATAATTGCTAGTAATTTAAGATTAAAAAATTTTTCAATGTTTTCTCTAATTAAAAATTACTTAGAATTTTTATACTGTTTCAAATGTATTTTGGAGTGCAAGAAGTGTTTCTGTGATTTGAAAATAATACGTTCAGTGTTAAGCATCACATTAAGCCTAACATTTTCTGTACTGTGAAATTACAAATATCATTTCTCTGAAATTCAAAAAGTATATTTTTAGATGTTTTCCACACTTAAATCAGCATGATCAGTGTAGTCCAAGTCTATGAGGAGTTGTTAAGAGATTCATGCCCTTTAGTCTTTGCTGTTCAACAGAAGTCTTGTAAAGGTGGATCAATTTTATCCGAAAACAGCTAACCTCTCTTGGGCAAACTATATGAGAACAGATTATGGGTACACATAAAATCTCCTTTAAATCCTGGAATTAAATGCAGGTTTGGGCACCAAGAAGTCAGATAATGAAAAGAGAATGAGTTTTCCTATAAAGTAGTGTGTAGTCGTAGTTTCTAAACTTGTTTCTCAGAGCAGTCTGCTGCTCAGTTTTTTAACTGCCTTCCCTGTTCATTTATTTAGAATAAGAGCCATCTCAGGCATCAGTTAAAATTAAAATAAAGAATGTGGTTTACAGTTTTTACAGCTAGATAAAGAAAATCAGTAGGAAAATAAAAAGACCACAACAAGGTTTTAAAAAGCCAGGATTATCATTGTATTTATAAAACACAAATGTGGATTGTTTATATGTGTATGCATATATACATGCATACATAGCCACACAAATATGACTCCACACTGTCCAGAAGATACAGAAAGAAATCAGCTTGTGCTGCTCATACAGAGAGGAGCCAAATGGTAATTTGGCTTTGTACTCCACATCAAGGCTTTGTTTGTTATGTAATCAGTGGCATCCGGTATAGTAGAGGTCCCTTTCCATCAATTAAAATGAACCCCAAACTGTTACTAGAAATCTGGCAACATGTTCATTTATTCATGCATTCAGAAAACACATACTGTGAATTTAGTAGGTGTCCAGTGCCAGAGACACAAAGGTAAATGGAAATTTTTTCCAGTCTTCAGTGAGATTCAGGAACCCATGGGCTCCCTGCCATGAGTGGGAGATTATCTCATTCAGCTTGTAGTCATCAGCAAATGCAGTCTAGAGGAAATTCTAACTTAACTGAGTCCTGAGCACCCATTAGCAATTAACTCTGGAAAGCCAGCAGCTGGTAAGGAGATATATGCTCGCCAAAACCATAGATGAGTTGTAAACACCCATGTGCTTAATGGATTAAAAAGTTAAGGGTTCATAGTGCCATGCAGAGTGCGATTTGGAGGAAATGTAAGGATGGATAAGAAGGGCCAGTGATGATTTTCTTTTTAATACTTGCTCATATAGTATGACTTTAAATGGAAAACAACTTAAGTTTTAGGGACTTCACTCTGTCTGCAGTGTATTTCCAGATTAAGTCAATAGGAGGACCATTTGAGGATCTAAAGCTGTAATGCAGGCGCAGATCATTTTGGAATAGGGAGGTCTTAATGTAGTATATGAAGATAAAATCAGTAAGCTAGTATCTGATTGACTGGGAACAAGGTAAGCAACTAGGGACGGCCCATGCTACTAAAAGGTGAATAAGAATGAGTGCAGGAGAATACATGTGCTAGAGGTAAAAACCTTATAAATTCCAGTTCAGAAAGTTGAGGTTCCTGGACAGTCAATGACAAGATTCTGAAAACGTGAGGAAAATACAAGATTGAGATAATATAACACAATCAAATATATGGCTATTAAAACTATGTTTGACAAGATAAGTTTGACAGATAAGTTTGACAATGAAGTTTCTATAATAAGTAGGATGTTGAATGTGGAATCTTAGGGATCACTAACAGGAGAAAGAGCAGAAATAGATGAATCTGTAAAAAAAAAAAAGAAAAGAAAAGAAAAAAAGAGAAAAAAGAAAAGCAGGCAAATAGGATGTCACTAAAGAAGGGAAAAGATTCTCCCAGTGTAATAGAGAAGAGTCAAGTGTCAAAGCCCAGTGCAGAGACCAAGTGTTCAGGTGACCACTCTGTAGAAAGGGGCACCCACATGAACCAAGCTACCTGCTTGGTCTACACAGAGAGAAAGATAAGCACTGGTGAAATTAGAGCTGAGGAGTGCAGAGGCTCTCTCCGCTGTCGTTTCTAATCCATTTGACTTTTCAGTCTGCCTTACCCTGTAATTTCCATCAGTCTCCTGATTTTAATGCAACTATCGTTCACTGAGGCTGGTGCTCCTCTCAGAGGTATTTTTTAAACAATCTTTGAATGCTTTCTTTGCTGCCCAGCCTCCTTCCTCTCATCTCTAGTTTCCACACTCAATTCCAGTTCTAAGGATCCTCAAGTTTACAAAAATCAATATACTAGCAGCAATAAATGCTTCAGTTGATTTCAGGACTCTGTTTAACCTTTGAGAGACAAAATTTAGGTCCAGATGAAGGTATCTGTTTAGGGTGAAAAATAACCTCACTAACTTCCTGTTTTTAATTTCATTCTCAGTCATTGCACAGCATGAAAGCGCCACTAACTTAAACTCAACTATCAACATACACTATTGCTAAGTTAGATAGAAAGCATAAAATCATACGGTTACGATATTTAACCTTAAGTGAGCTTCCAGACAGTACTACCTCATCTCCTTAATGCATGTAACTCTACTGTTCAGTTTAAATAATTTAGACCCTATCCTCTCTCAGATTCAAACCTTTTGGCCCGTCCTTTACAACAAAAAAGGAACAATCCAAGAGTCTATGTGCCCCCACCATCTGCAGTTACACCCACACATTCTGCCTTGTTTTTGAGGATGCGAGTAGAGTCATGAATGGGACTGTCCATCTACTGAAGGTCAACCCCTGTGTGTGTGTCTACTTAATCCTATTCCATCCCATTTTGACTGTCGGAGGACATCTTTTCAAAAATGTATTCAGCATCAATTTTGTGTCTGTTAGATTGCTCCTATAACTTCAAAATTTTCTCACATTAAAAAACAAACACACAAACTATCCCGATCTTAGCATTCCAACTAGTTTCCTTTGCAGTCATGATTAAGAAAAGCCACGAATGGTTAATGCATTCAATTTTTCTTCTCTGATTCTCTCTTGAACCTATTCTCAGTCATCTTTCTTGAACTACTTCACATTTCTCTTCAAAATTAAGAATTAAAAATCCATGGCTAAATCTGACTTTTCACTATACAAAGCTTATTAGCAGTGTTGCATACTGTTAATCAGCTTTTTCTTTTAAACATTGTCTTCACGATTCCCTAGACTCACATGTTTTGTTCCT